TGTGTGTGTGTGTGTGTGTGTGTGTGTCTGTATGTGTGCGCGCGCACCATATACGAAAAATTAGTACCATCTCTCTTCAGGATATAGGCGATCATGGCTCTCCAGAACTTCACTATCTATTCTGCTTCCATTTCCACAGGTTTGTTAAGTAACCAACTGGTTGATTTCCGCTGTTCTTTTTGCATCCAATGAGTATCAAATTCTCCAAGTCTTCTTTCCTCATTATGTGTCCTAGGAATTTCAAAAGCCTCTTTCTGATCCTAAATAAAAGGGTGCGTTCTTTTGTCTCCATTATCCTTAAAAATTCGTCGTTATTCACATGTCCAGTCTAAGGTGTTCTCAACATCTTTCTTTAGAAGCACATTTCTATTGCCTCAAGTCTCTTCTTCATCTGCGAGGAGATTGTTCCACATTCAAAAGAGAAGAAGAGAGGAGATATTACATAAGAGTTCGGAAAACATTTCTTTGTTTCTAAAGAAATGTTTTTGTTTTTTCATACATTAATTAGCTTTTGAAAGGCATCACTGTTACTTCGAGTTAAACTCTTCATCGGATGGAAAGTTGTCCAGTATTTACTGTCATATTTGGATAGCGAAAGATGCTTTCCAAAAGCTAAGCAATGTATTAAGAAACAGAAAAAAAAATCCATTAGAAACAAAGAAAAGTGTACTACAGCCCACGTGATATCAGTATTCTATATGGCAATGAACGCTGGGTAGGCTCGTCACAGATGAAGAAGAGACTTGAATCAATAGAATTTTTGTTCTACAGAAGGATGTCGAGAATATTACGGACCGAACATATGAGCAACGACGAGGTTTTAGAGAAAACGGAAACAAAAATTGATACTTATACTTAATATCAGAAAGAAGCAGTTGACATTTCTAGGATACATAATGAGGAAAGAGGGCTTGGGAAGTATGATACTCACAGGACACATTGAAGGCAAGAGGGACAGAGGAAAACAACGCCTAGCATAGTTAGCGAACTTGAGTAATGGCAGAACAAAAAGACAAAATTTATTAAGAGCTACAAATGACCGGAAATAGTGGAGAGCCATGATCGATCATGTCCTTAAAAGACCCGGCACATAAAAGAAGAAGAATAGAAGGATTGATATTATATGGCTGTCTGAGATTCTTTGCTTTCGTTTTTTTTTCTAAATAATTTTTCCTGTTTCTTAATACTTTACTTTGCTTAGCAAATATATAGATGAAATTTGTCAGTGAAAAAATAAATTTCTAAGTTGTAGATTTTCGGTGCTAAAATGACTTGTTGAAAGCTACCCCCCACCAAAGAAAAGGAGAAGGCGTGTCTTAGTCACCTTGTACTTCATTCTATTTCACGTACACATTCTTGTGTATATATTTGTTGAAGGTAGTTATTCATTGTTTATAGCTGACATCTACTTACCACCCGGAGTTCATACTGAGCACTTGTCAGCCTCAAGGCGAATCTCCGCTGCTTGTGAATCTTTTGACTTTTTGACATAAAATAAAAGAATAGTTCCCCAACAGATCGAATGTCAAAACTAGTAAACTGAAGCATTAAGAGAAGTATCTAAGGATTAGGTTTAGAAAGATTAGGGATTTGCTTGGCATTCGGATTAAATGTGATGCCTTGTGCAAGGAAATTCAGGAAAAATATAAGACAAAACTTGTTTATTTTTTTTCTTCTCTAGAAAATCAAAAACGAATATCTGGATGTTTTCTTTTCCTTTTATTTCAATCAATACAAGACCCAAGGGCCACTCGAGTTAGAGGGTTACTTAGTGAGATTGTAAGGGAAGGGAAATTAGTGAGTATTATGAAGTTGGATAGATATCGGTTGATCCTGGACTTAAATGGAACAAGATTGTGTACGCTATCCCGTGCAGCTGCGGAAAGAAATATAAAGGGGAGACAGGCCGCCCCCTCAAGGTAAGGCTTCAAGAACAGCAGAAAGCTGTAACACGAGGGGAAGGGGAAAAATCAGGCGTGGCTGACCATATATGGAGAGAAAAGGGAGATCACCGCCCTCTGTGGAATCAAGTTGAGATCATAGACAAGGAACACCATTGGAAAATTCGTAAACATAAGGAATCAGCACATATGCTAGGCCACAAACATCTCCTAAGCCGACCAAGCATAGAAATAAATACAATATGGGAACCAGTAATAAGAAGTGCCAGAGAAAAGCGATAATAACAGCAAAGTTGCGATATGAGCTCTGGTAAAAACATGCAATGATAACAGCAAAAATTGCAATATGAACACTGGTAAAAATGGTTGCTGAAGACATTAGGTTTATAATACCCAGAAATTCATGGCACAGTGGATAAAGGTGTTAGTTAGATCCTGTGGCTGGACCCAAAGAGTGTGAGTTCAATACCTGGTTAAGGCGGTGGAGAACTTTCAGAGGGAAAATTAACAGGACATCCATTAAACATGGCACGTGGAACTAGAACAGTCTACCCCAGTGAGCGAAATAAAGGGTTCAGTTCAACATTCCAACCATCTGAAGAAGGCCGGAGCGTACAACGGCCGAAACGTTGTAATAAATATGGCGACAAAGATGAGGACAATAGTCCGAATAATGTAAATAATGAACAAGATCGTAGTTGCCAGGGTAGCATTCTCTCTGGAGTTTGTCCTTTTAGTGAAGAAGAACTAAGAGAAATTTGTCTTTTATTGAAGGAACACGAAGGAAATAGTGATGATTTGCCACCGTAAGCACGACATGTTAGGTTGGGGGGGGGTCTTATCTGTGGAGGTCTGACTTGGTGGAAGTAGAGAATTTAACCCACCCGAACATCTGCCATAGTAATCTCGATAGCAATATTTCATCTGTGGGATAAGGGTCGTGGGTATAATTCATCACCCACAAGGCTGCTTAATTGATTTTGAACTCCGTCGACGCTATGCAGTGAAGATTTGGCAGCACCAGCCCAGATATGACAACACTACTCCATTCTTAGCGCAACCTGAACTGACACTCGTAAAGACCGGACGTTGTAGCCGGAGTTTGTGGTATTTTCTAGTGAGATACAAAGAACCGACCATTTCCAGCATATTTTACGACAACACCAAATATACGCGTTCCACTTGAGGTCAGGAGTGAGCTTTATAACCAGTCGAGGCAAGGAAGCAAGGGTATGACCCCTCATCGGGATTAGTGCAGGTGTGGTGATGAAATGTTACTAGTTTAGTTTTGGACTATATTGAATGATACCAGCCAGTCTTTTCTCTATTGAGTTACGAGACTTAGATCAAAGGAGAGATTAGTTGACCATCAAGATATTTAGAGGTGCACACATACTTTCTTGTCTGATATTCATATGTATTTATTAAGGATCTGAAAGTGTTCTTGGGAAGATCATTGATGTAAATCAAGTGTAAGTGGAAACATGTGTCAACAGATGGAATTGAACTATGACAATAAATTAATTTGAGCATTGAATGAAAGTGATATTTATAAATACATTAGAATATTATTATCAAACTCATCAATGGAAGAAGAAATAAGAAAGAAGAAAAAAGTCAGAATAAATGCTGAAATTGCCGAAGATTTTAGAATCAAAGATAATTGAACTTAACCTATGGTATGAAGAATATCCATTATTAAATATTCCGAGTCCTTTCTAATCTGATCAATAGAAGGGTTGGTGATTAGAAAATTGTGCATCTCAGAAGTTACGATGACAAACTCTAAGTAAAGAGATAAAGAAGGGTGATTGTGCTCTTTCAAACTTTTTGCAAAACTTTTCTGATACAAACCAAATCTATGTCTACCTTTTTTATTCTGCTACAAACCAAATCGGTTTAACTTCTTGACTCTGGAGCAAACCAAACCTATGTTTACCTTTCTGATTCACGTGCAAATCAAACCTATATCTTTCTTTAGTTTATCAAAGCAACAGAATTCAGGATGAATTAATCTGAAAAAGGTTGATATGCCGTAAAACAACTAATCCTATCTTGTGTTTAATTCTGAAATGACGGGAATAGCCTCGCTTTGCTTTTGAATATTTATTTGCACAAAGCAAGCTTTAAATGAAGGAAAACAAAGTAGCTGTCAATATTATCAGATGTGTTCAGTTTGTTTTATAAACATTCTTAGACTTCCAACATCTCTGGAAAAGAGGAATATACCAATTCGTTTCTCGCTGAATTCACTCGAATTTAATGATTTTCTCTTTTACATATTTTTTTCTTGTCCATTTTTGACAACCGAAAAAAGAGGAATCAAATTCCGATACCCCCATATGCTCGATGAAGGTAATTTATTCAGCTTAGCTAAGGCAAGTAGAAGGAAATAACAATGGTTTGTAAGTTTGTCTCTTATTTTAATATTGCAGCCCCGAGTTCGATCCGACTGAGTTTCCCAAAGCTGAACCATCGTTTAGTAATTCTTGATACATATACCCTATGCTTTTAGGACTTTGATCATCACTTTTTTCTCCTTCATTTCTTTTTTTTTTTTTTTGGCACCACTGAGCAAAATTAAAAGAAAAGAAAAATTTCGATAAAAAGGAAGAAACTAAGGCGCTTTAATTTGACAGTAGTGTCAATCGTTATTAGAGCACTAGAAGAAAACACTAAATCTTAGCAAAAAGTATGGATGAAGTGGAATTCCGAGGGAGAATTTAAACCATGCAAGCTACATAATTAATGAAAGAAACTACTTTTATATCTTCTATCCTTTCTAGGATTGTATTGATCATGACCCTCCACAACTTCCTGCTTTGTTACACAAAATAAAATTAAAAGAAGATAAGCACACAGACCCCACTATACAAATCAAGGAACTAGAGATCAAGGATTTTGCTGTATTGTAATCGTTTTTGGAGTACAAGGACAAATATGAAGAACTGTGCTTGTTGCTCTAAGCTTGAGAAAATGGGTGGCAGGTCATTGCATTTCTAAGAGCTGATTGAGTCGATAGAGTAGAGTACAGAATTGATTGAGGAAGTAGGGATGTGTTTGGGACTGAGGAAGTGATTGTAAAGAGAGAAAAAAAGACTACGGAACTGAGGAAGTGATTGAAGAGGAAGTAAATTGTTCAGAAGTGATTGAGAAGAGAGAAAAGTACGCAACTAAAGAAGTGATACAGAAGGTAAGATATGTTGGGAAGTGAGAAAAGGGATTGATTAGAAAGGAAAGACTAATGAACTGAGGAAGTGTTTGAAGAATAAGTAAAGTGTTCGGAACAGTGGAAGTGATTGAGAAGAGGGAAGAGAGTACGGAACTTAGGAAGTGATTGACGAAGAAAAAATGTGTTCCAAACTGAGGAAGTGATTGAGAAAAAAGTAAAGACTACGGAACTTAGGAAGTGATTGAATAGGAAGTGAAGTGTTCGGGAATGAGGAAATGATTGTGAAGAAAGGAAAGACTACTGAACTGAGGATGTGATTGAGGAGGAAGTGAACTGTTCTGAACTGAGGAAGTGATAGAGAAAGAAAAGAGTACAAGAGTAAGGAAGTGATTGAGGAGGAAAAGAGATGTTCGAGAATGAGGAAGTGATTGCGAAGAAAAGAAAGACTACGGAAGTGAGAAAGTGACTGAATAGAAATTGAACTGTTCGGAATTGAAGAATTGATTGAGAAAGAAAAGAGTACGATCCTAAGGAACTGTTTGAGAAGGATAAGATGTGTTTGGGAATGAGGAAGTGATTCTGAAGAAAGGAAAGACTACAGAACTGAAGAAGTGAACTGTTCGGAACTGCGAATGTGATCGAGAAAGAAAAGAGTACGATACTAAGGAAGTGACTGAAAAGGAAAAGATATATTCGGCAATTTCAGGATGTGACTGCTAAGAAAGGAACGATTACGGAACTGAGGAAGGGATTGAGGAGAAGTGATGTGTTCGGAATTGAGGAAGGGATTGAGGAGAAGTGATGTATTCGGAACTGAAGAAGGGATTGAGGAGAAGTGATGTGTTCGGAACTGAGGAAGGGATTGAGAAAGAAAAGAGTATGATTCTGAGGAAATGATTGAGAAGGAAAAGATGTGTTCGGCAATTTCAGGAAGTGATTGCGAAAAAATGAATGACTACGGAACTGAGGAAGTGATTGAGGAGAAGGTGAAGTGTTCGGGAATAAGTAAGTGATTGAGTAAGAAGTAATCGAGGGGGAGGTATTGTGTTCGGGACTGAGAAAGTGCGTGAGAAGAGAGAAAAAATGTACAAATTCTAGAGGAAGAGATGTGTTTAGAATTGAGGAAGTGTTTGAGCAAGAATAATAATACGGAATTGAGAAAGTGATTGAGGCAAAAAGAAAAGAATACAATCAAAAATTTTTTAAAAAATACGTAGGAAATGAATATGATGGAAATACTTTTGATTTCATTAACGCATTTTAAGATATTTTGATATGACGTGGGATATATTATTTATTTATTTGCCATTTGTGAACATTTATTTATATTTTTAATAATGTCAAATCTTTGTGGAAATATTTTCGATTTTGTTAAAGCATTTTCTAAACTGCTCTCTATTAATCGTCTGAGATACCGCTTTCTGCTTCTATTAGCACGGCTGATGCTAACCCCCAGGTGAATGACTCATTGCGATTCTTATGGCTAACATTCTCGGCAGATAAGTGGAGAGTCTATACCGAATCTATTGCCAAGTCAGTTGCTAAGAAAGTTGGTTCACTGTGTCGTCCTCCGATTGGATTCGAACCTGTATCCTATACGAAACCGTCATTTAGCTTGACGTGTCTTTAACCGATTTGGCTACAGAGGTGCGTTCGGTTAGCAAGGTCGAATTTACTGTATTTGAACTTCAATCTTCTGTGAATCTCTCATGTACATTCATATCTGTTCATGGCGTATCAAATGTAAACAAATGACGTCACATATTATGAAATGGACAAAGTCCGACAATTATTTTAAGAGATTTTTATGTTTATACATTCTTTTTATAGATACAAATATTTATCGGTCTGAATGTCCGAGAAATTTTCACAGAAAATATTCGTCATTCAGGCCGGTAAATATTGTTTAATACTGTTTATTATAAACAGAGTATTTACTTAAATATTTGTATCTATAAAAAGAATGTATAAACATGAAAATGTCTTAAATTTCCATTAATTACTAAGACCTTTTATTCATCTCCCAAGATTATGTTAATATCACGTCGATCGTTTGGAGAAATATATTTAATTTTTTGGGAAAGATGTTGGAGTGGTCTCCTGTTTCTTTCGCTACAATATTGAATTCCTCGTTTTCTTAGTTTGGTTGCCATTCAAGGATAGAAGGTCTAGTCTACATTGATAATAACTCATAGCTGGAGGGAGAAGTGATGGATTCGTGGCTTTTCCAAGAATACTTGTGCGAAAATGAATGCAACAGAGCATCCCAGATTTTGAACTAGACTTCACTTTCGCACCCATATCCGTTATACTACCAGGATCTCACACGAGAGTACACTTGCATAAATCGCTTGCTGTAGAGCAACCGTTATCTCTCAACCGATTGTTCATAAATTTAATCAAGCGTTTGCAATCGACTTTATTTTTGGGGTGCAACACGATCTTACTACTCTGTACTGGCCTTGTACCATACCCAACTAAATTTCGTAACTATCAACACCGTGACTGGCACAGCTTCCTTCTTCTTTTCTTACTCCCCTTCTTCTTGAAACCAACCCCCTGTATAATCCTGTTTGTTCTCCTCCTCATTCTACCCTAGTTTCATCAGTATCCTCTCCTTCCTTCATTTACACTTCCTCCTCACGTCGTCTCATCTCCACTCTCTCCCTCTGCACCATCTTCTCCTTTCGTCTCATCTCTACCCCTCCCTTCTTCCTCTACTCCTCCTGCTACCCCCGTCTCGTGACTATCCTCTCCTCCCCCCCTCTACACCTCCTAATCCCCTCCCCTTCCTTCTACTACTGTTAATGAGAACAACAACGCTCCAGATCTTCTGGCGGCTCCTGGCTAAACTTTGACACGTGCGCTCGTCTGTCAGTTCGTTCCCACGTGTTTTACATTAGAAGTGTCATGGTCGATGAATTGAACCTTGCCTTGTTCCCCTCTCTGCATTGTGAGTGAGGGTGTAGAAGAAAGATAGAAAGGGTTTACAGGAAAAAAAAAATGGTGAACAGAATGCTGGGAAGGTTCAGCCATATAATTGCAGTCCGATCCCTCGAAAAAAAAAAAAAAAAAAAACTTCATCAAAAAACAACCCATACCCTTCGGATAAGACCCCTTTTAGCTCGAGCCATTGCCTAGTCTGGACACATTCAATGATCTGTTAACAGCGTGCTCAGTTTGTCATGAGTTGCGATTTGTGCAAATTTTTTTTCTTTCAGATTTTTAAATTTAATTTTTATCTTTTAAAACACATTTAGCTCTTACGGCCATATCACGTTGGAACTCTGTTTCCCGTACGATCAGTGTTCGCCATCGCTAATCTCTCTTGCTATTTCCATAGCCCGAGTAACATTTCTTAATCCTGCCAGCCCTGACCCTTACAAATGGGACCCGCCATGCTGCGTACACAAAGACAAATCATTCTGATTCCCTTCGTATTCCAATCGTAACGAATCCCACTCGAACAGCTTTTCCAAAGAATTGCCGCTCTCTGGAACTCTTCAAGTCTAGAGTTAACTGTTATATTTCTTGCATAGCCTCATGAACTTCACTTTTTGTCTTTGCTTAAACTCGTACAACACCCTCTATCTTGAGTGGATCTTGAGCCTTGTATTGAGTGAATATTATTAACAAAAACAGGTGAAAACACCGCAGTCTGTTTGTTAGCTAAACACGTTCGTCATTGTGAATATGCCTATCCTATAATTTTGAAGTGTTTCTTTTGGCTACTACCACTTCTACTACTATAAGTAGAAGACAAAATAATACGGCATCGAAACATTGGAAATAAGAAGTATCAGAAAAATTATAAGATAAGAATTTTGGATGCTAATATAATCTTCTGTTACCGAAATTGTTAAAGCAGTCGATATTTGGAATTGAAATGAGTGTCGTCTTTGGTAAAGGGGTTGTAGGGTGAAAAAATAATTCATCACCACAAAGCCGCATAAACACTTTTGAACTTGATATGCAAGCAAGAACTGGGTAGCCCCAGCATAGATATGGCAGCAATATTCCATTCTGGGTCTGATTTGACGCTTGTAAAGAGGATATCAGGAGGAATCGGGTACTTCCGGGAGTGGCACAAGGAACCAACCATTTTTAGCAATAAATCGGATATATGATGGTCTGGGGAGAGCTTAAGTCTCAGTAGACATTCCTTTCAAGGCACCTCCTTCAGAGAAGATCTATCCATTGAAGGGTGAATGTTAGGGTCAGTTCGGTGGTCGTGGGACATTATTAGTTTGGTTTTGTCATTTATTGTTTGATTTTATTCATATTTCGTCTGATTTTACAAGCCCTTGTACCACCTGGGATTGGTCAGAGTAGCTAATTGGTGCTAGACTTTGGCAGGTGCACATGTGACCGTTGTATTATCTGCATAGATACTCACTAATGATCAGAGTATTTTTTCATCCATTGACTTGTAGGGTCGCAGGGGCACAATGTATACCGCAGCAACAGTAGAAGTGATGTTTCTTGGGCAAGATAGCCTGACGGGGCCCAACCTTCTCTAGGCTGGTTTTGAATTCAGAGGTTTTCCTTCTCCTAGACCGGTTGCCACTCAACGTTATAGAAACCAGCCTGTCCTGCTATTTACCCATCGCTGGGGAAAAGATGGGGATTCATTCCTTTCCCAAGGGTATTAGCACGTAAGTGAATATAATGGATCCAACTAGAATTCGAACTCGGCTCTCCGATTCCTCAAGCCGAGCCGATATCCACTGTGCCTCCCTTTTGCTTTTAGCCAAATACAGCTGAAAGAGGATAGGACCAAGAGGTGAACCCCGTGGAACGCTGGCAATGAACTTATGCGCTTCCGATGGATCGTTGTTAATAACGAACTTCTTTTATTTCCTTGAAGCCATGGGTAGCACGTGTAACTAGAAGGGAAAATAATGATATAATAAACACGTTGACTTTCCACATTACCAAAAACAACAGGTTAGGAAGGAAACTCCAATCGATACTAGAAAGAGCTATCGCAGTTAGTGGACGTGAGAAGTATAATTTCTTGAAAAAACTGTTTCAGAAAAATTTTTTTTAAATATCAATGAATGTTGAAAATTCCTTGTATGTATGCGGCTATTCTCAGAGTTACCACCCTGGAAGAGGAACGCCTGGAGAATGGAATGCAAATTCGAGTTTGGTCGCAATTAGGAATCCTTCTTTCGATTTGTTCCTTTTCTGCTTTAACAACCAAAAATAGGTTTTGGTATATAAAGCCGAAAGAAGTAAACACCCCGAAACAAAGAAAAAAAAAAAAAAAAAAAAAAAAAAAAGATGGTGAGACTACATTTCTATATGTCAAAAGAATTTTAGGCAAAGGATTGACAAACTGGAAAAAAATGTGTGCAACTGGTTTCGTCCGATAAAGTCCTTCACGGGGTCGAAACGATTTGTACAGAACTTTTCATTCATTTGTCGAATAAAATACAGTGCGGTGCATAATTATAAGGCCAGCTGAATTTTATCTTTAAACTTTAACAATTGAGATGGTTTTTAATATTAATATATTATAATATTAATCTATTATAATATTTAATATTAATATTTTGTATATTATTATATATTATTAATAATCCAACTGTTTCAAATAATTGTTATGATTAGAAAATCACTTATTGTAAAATTATTCAAAAACTCGAAAAACAATTGGTACATAATTATAAAGCCATTTAGAAAATTAAAAAAAAAGAGCATTACGAGTTAAAATAATTTAAATCAAGAATCGCTTAAAATTTTATAAATTATTATTAATAACTGACCAGCATTTGCGAATAACAAAATTGACATAAACTATGCGTTTGGGTACAAAATTAAGTGAATTTGAAAAAGGTCAAAGAATCGAACTCAAAAATTATCTCAGTTGCTAAATTTTAAAGAAATAATTCAGCTGCCCTTATAATTATGCCTACACTTCCCTTATAATTATGAACTACACAGCCGTTATAATTATGGCCTACACTGCCCTTATAATTATGCCCTACACAGCCGTTATAATTATGGCCTACACAGTCCATATAATTATGCCCTACATAGCCCTTATAATTATGCTCTACACTGACCTTACAAATACTTTCATGGAAATTGCTCCGAGGAGCTGCATTCGCTGGTTCCCAGACTTCATGAGTTCCAGCGCCCTACGAGGCTGGCATCCCGCTCTCACCCTTTCACTGTCGAAACTCCTAAATGTAGCCGTCTCTTCTACTCCTCTCGCCTGTGGAACTCCCTTCCCTTCTCCTGTTTCCTCGTGAGCTATAATCTCCAGCTATTCAAGTGTAATGTCAATCGACATCTCCAGTTGCCTTGATCCACTATCCTTCTCCTCATCCTTTCCTCTATCACTCCTATCTGATCTTGCTCTAAATCTTTTGTAACCCCTTGCGTCCTAGTGGCTTCCCGCCTTGCTTGGGGTGAAACGCTTAAAAAAAAAAAAATTATGCCCAACACTGCCCTTATAATTATGGCCTACACTGCCCTTATAATTATGCCCTACACAGTCCTTATAATTATGGCCTACACTGCCCTTATAATTATGCCCTGCACTGCCCTTATATTTATGGCCTACACAGTCCTTATAATTATGCCCTACACTGCCCTTATAATTATGGCCTACACTGCCCTTATAATTATGGCCTACCTTGCCCTTATAATTATGTCCGACACTGTATGTATAATCATGAAAGCGCTTCATTTGAGGACGTCAGGATGACATTACAAATTTAGCAGTTCCAAATGAAGAGATCGGCTATAAACGGATCGATAAAAAGAAACAGAAACACGAAGAAACTCATAAACATTAACAGTAAAACAGGTGTAAGGTATAAGTTCTACAGAAGGATGCTGAGAATACCATGACGTAGCATGCGAACACTGAGGACGATTTAATGAAAATGTAAACAAAAAGGACACCTATATTTAAAATCAGATTCATTTGTTGATATATTTTTTATGGTTTATCAGCCCTTTGTGAGCTAATATTTATCATATTTTCAATTATAAAGATAATATCTTTTTTGACGAATGAATATTGTATTAGCGATGCTTTGATTTTTTTCCCTGGGAAAAATCCTACTCTTTAACCCATAACTCAGGTGTGACGATAGATTCATACCTCTCCAAAGGGTAATTAAACATAAGGGGATGTAGCGAACTCGACTGGAATTTGAAATCCGTTCTTCTGATTTCTTTTTCTGAGGCGCTATCCATTACACCACCCGCACATCCTCTTAGAATCAGAAAGAAACAGTTGAAATTTCTCAGATACAATGAGGAAAGACAGCTTAGTAATTTTGACACTCACAAGATCTATTGAAGTCAAGAGCAACACATGGAAACAGTGAGAAACCTGCTTAATGAGCTTGAGTAAATGGATGACAGAACAGGGAATGTAGGGGACAGTAAAAAGACAAATATTGCTAAGCTCTATAAAATGAAAGGAAGTTGTGGAGAGTCATGATCGCCTATGAAGGGACTCGGGACATACAAGAGAAGCGAAGAAATGATGAACGTATAATGTTCAATTCTAAAACAGTACTTGAATAAAAATTCTATTATAAAATCGTATCTTCTGGATCAAAACCCATAAAACCTTTTTTATTTTTATTTATTTATTTTTTACAATAACATTCACCCTGTACAAGGTCTGGGCGCCACTGGAGGCAGAGGGTTA